TGAGAAATTTTCTCATTCTTTTTCTTTTTGGTCTTTTTGAGACAGGGTCTCCCTGTAGCACCAGCTGTCCTGGAACTCACTATGTAGACCAGGCTGGCCTCAAACTCACAAAGATCCACCTACCTCTGCCTCCCATGTGCGTGTGCCACCATGCCTGGCTCTCATTCTTTTTTGTAATAAAATCACATACGACTCTACATGGGTGCTGTGAATTCAAGCTCAGGTCCTTATGCTTGGGAAGCAGGCACCATGCCGACTGAGCCATCTCCTCAGCCCCAGAATTTGAACCATTTTGATCCACTCTATTGCTCCCCATACAATGAGATCTCCATGAGGTCAAGAACCATGTTGTTCAGGTTTACCTCAGCATCTGGGACTTTTAGTTCTTGAATTAATGCTTTGATTAAGAAGAGGAAATACATCAACAAATATGAATAATTGTTTCAAAAAGCACATCCTGATTAGTTAATAATACTTTTTGTTATTAATGCTATAGAGTCATAATCTGTATAATCACTGATATAGTTACATATTTTGAAAGCTCTGAATCATACCACTAATAGAATTAACAGTTCAGAGTTATTTTGAAAAAAATAATATGTTTGTTTTTAGAATACTAATACATGTCTTTAATCCCAGCACTCAGGAGGCAGAAGCAGGTGGATTTCTGTGAGTTCAAGGTCAGTCTGGTCTACATGGTGAGTTCTAGACCAGCACCATTTTTTTTTTTTTTTTTTAGAAAAAAAAAAAAAAAAAAAAAAAAAAAAAAAAAAGAAATACTAAACAGCCATGGAAACATATATTGTTTTGTGCTGTTTTCCCTAGGCACGTAGAACATCTTCAGACAATGTGTCTTTCCCTTCTGATTGAAAATCTAATAAAATGCAAAAAAAGAAATCACGTAGCTATGAGAGTGTTGCCATTTTAAAAACACTCTGTCCCTCTGAGTAAATAGAATTTTATTCATTTATTCAATTTATTACACAATGGAATTTTATTCATCTGTAAAGTGAAGTCATGACATTTGCAGGAAAATGGGTGAATCTGGAAAGTATTATATTAAGTGAGGTAACTCAGAAAAAAAATCACATGTTCTTTCTTATATAAGGATCCTAGTTTAGAGTATTTGTATTTTTGTATTTAAGTGGGCGTGAGAGTGGGTATAGGCTGTGGGAGTAGAAAGAAGATCCTATGAGGAGAAAAAGGTGTTGGGGAAGGGGCACAAGTGGCTTGAAAGCAGAAAGCAGGTTATGGGGGAGGGGAGGGTTCAAGGTGGGAGGGGCCGTCAGCAGGAGGGGGAATAGGGAAGAGGGGAAGCAAGGGAAACAAACTGTTTGAAAAATACCATAGTGAAGCCTAATCCTGCATAACTCAATTACACATTTTAAAACAAAAAAGATGCTCTGTCTACACATGTTTAAAAAACAGTTGGTTTCGGCCGGGTGTGGTGGCGCAGGCCTTTAATCCCAGCACTCTGGAGGCACAGGCCGGCGGATCTCTGTGAGTTCAAGGCCAGCCTGGTCCACATAGTGAGTTCCAGGACAGCTGGGGCTACAGGGAGACCCTGTCTCAAAAAGACAAAAAAACCAAAAAAATAAAAAACCAAAAACCAGTTGGTTTCTACTTCTGGGCATACATTGAAAGGACTCTAATTCCTCCACAGAGAAGTTCGCATACCCATGTTCATTGCTGCTATTCACAATACCTAAGAAATGGAACTAGCCTAGAGGTCCATCAGTAGCATTTTACACAGTGAGTTCCAGGCTAGCTGGGGCTACCTTGTCTCAAAAAGACCCCTCCAAAAGATAATTTTCAAAAATTTTTTATTTATTTCCACTGCAGACTGAACCCTGACCCAGTCAGTACATCAGGATGAGCAGGATTCATTTTTGTACTAAGGAAACAGGCACTTCCTCCTCAGAACCTCAAAGCTGCATCCTTCCCCATGAACTATGGGACAGCTCTCCCTCAAAAGGGGTGAGGCTCCTGGTGACATGATCCTGGAAGGCCACCCAACCTCACCTTACGGAGGGTGAGCACTCGTTTCTTGGTTCCCACCACACAGCCTTTCAGCATGACGAAGTCATTGGTCACCTCACCATAATGGACAAAGCCACCCAAGGGGTTGATGCTCTTGTCGGAGAGGTCACAGTCGGTAGAGGCATTGTTCTTGATCAGCTTGCCATCCTTGATAAGGTAGCCCTGTCCAATCTTGTAAATCTTCTTGTTGATCTCTGTGCGATGATGGTAGCCTTTCTGCCCAGCTCGAGCCACAGAGAAGGCCACACGGGCAGGGTGCCAGGCTCCAATACAAGCAACCTTGCGCAGGCCTCGGTGGGTCTTACGGGGCAGCTTCTTGGTGTGCCAGTGGCTGGTGACCCCTTTGTAGCCTTTGCCTTTGGTCACCCCGATGACATCAATCATTTCATCCTGCCCAAACACCTGGTTCACAGGGACTTGCTGTTCCAGCCTTTCCCGGGCCCAGTCTAGTTTCTCAGCTACAGTGCCCTCGTTCACCTGGATCTCCATCAAGTGGGCCTTCTTCTGACGGAGAGGAAGCAGGCGCATCTGGGTGTGGGCGATTTTTTTTATGTGTATGTGTGTATTACCTGCAAGTAGGTAAGTGCACCCATGTCGTGCAATGCCCGCGGAGGTCAGAGGAGGCTGTCAGATGCCCTGGGACTGGAGTTATGGACAGTTGTTAGCTGCCATGTGGGTGCTGGGATTCGAACCTGGGTCTTCTGCAAGAACGACCAGTATTCTTAAAGGCTGAGCCATCTGTCCAGCCACAAAAGATGATATTTATAAAAATATAAATTCTGATATAGGAGTCCTGTTAAAAGACCCACACTCTGCAAACTCTTATTCTCTGTGCTTTGGCCATTTGTGACCTTTTGTGTTCCTGGCCCTCTGTTGCATGAGGGAGCTTCGTTGATGAGAACTGAATGATGCATAAGTGTTCTCTTCATCCCTCAGTCTATTTTCCGTGAGCCTTGGGTGTAGAGGTTGCAGCCTAGATGTGCCATTTAGACTTAGGCAATCTCTGTGTGTGACCAGTTGTGGAACTTTGTAATTATCTCTGTTGAGAAAGAAGCTTCTTTGATAGGTGGTAACTGGGATACTTGGCTCAGGGACCATTGCTGAAGAGGGAGCAGGAAGATTGCAAGAGCTAGGGAGGACGTGTATGACCATACGGAAATAGTCCTACAGGCTCCTGGGACTCTTCTCATATAAACCTACAGCAACGGTGTCAGCACGTACAAGACCCATACAAACTTAAGGAAACAAAAACCCAGCACAGAACTGTGGAAATGAGCATCAGGCCCCAATCTTAGTGGAAGAATTATTGGCAGCTGATTGCTGATCTTCTTAAAGGGAGGTACTCTAGACAGGTGAGTAGATCTCAGTGGATGAACTTGCACTGAGGGACATCTGGGGACACTAACTTTACATGATAGGCCTTAACACAAATGGTAGAATGTATGAGCCCCAGTTGGGGAACGATGGGAGGGTGCCAAAGGGGAAGGGGGAATAAAGATGATTTTCTGTATGAAATACACAAAAACTTAATAAAAAATTTATTTTAATAATATTTAATCCCAGCACCCACATGGCAGCTAACAACTGTCCGTAACTCCAGTTCCAGGGGATCTGACAGCCTCTTCTGTCCTCCGCAGGCATTGCATGACATGGGTGCACTTACCTACATTCAGGCAATACAGGCATACACATAAAAATACAATAAAAAATAATAAAATATTTAGAAAGAAAAAAGAGTATACATTTTTTTCATTACTTTTCACTTTACTGGCATGCAAAAAGGTTATCTTCATGTGTTTATTACTGTCACGGTCTGACAAATATCAAGAATGCAAACACAGTAGAAATAGTTTTATCCGAATGTTTAGTGAATTTTCTAATATTTGTTTCTTTAAACATTTAACTTTGTTCCTCTTCTTCCTGCTTTTTCCAACCAATAAACCGTTTTTTCCTTTTAAGGAAAGTTTGTCTCAGCTGGGTGTGGTGGCACACACCTTTAATTCCAGCACTCAGGGGGCAGAAGCAGGTGGATCTCTGTGAGTTCGGGGCCAGCCTGGTCTCCATAGTGAATCCAGGACAGCTGGGGCTATAGGGAGACCCTGTCTTGAAAAGACCAAAAAAAAAAAAAAAAAAGCTAGTCTCAGGCTGGAGAGATGACTCAGCCATTAAGGCACTGGCTGTCTTTTGTAGAGGACTAGAGCTCAATTCCCAACTCCCACATGGCAGCTAGTAACCATCTGTAACTCCAGTTCCAGGGGATGCGACACCCTCTTCTGACCTCCATGGGCATTGCATGACACGGGTGGTGCACCCTCCTACATGTGAGGAATTATACTCTTACACATAAAATAAAAATAATAAATAAAATATTTAGAAAAAAAAGAAAAGCTAGACTCCAGTTCCTCGGCTCCAGCCCTTCCTCTTACCTCAGGCTCTCAGACAGCTGGAATTACAGGCATGCACTCCCACACCCAGATTAATACACTTTATCTTGTTTTTGAGGCAGGGTCTCACTGTGTAGCCTTGGCTGGCCTGGAACTTACTATGTATGCTAGACTGGCCTTGTACTCGCAAAGATCCACTTACCCCGAGTGCTGCGATTAAAGGTATGCACCACCATGCCTGGCCTTAATATGTAATTAAAATTTTTTTTAAATTTATTTTTATTTTATATGCCTGAGTGTTTTGCCTGCATGCACGTAAGTGCACCATGTGCATGCAATGCCTGTAGAGGCCAGAAGAAGGCATTGGATTCCCTGGAACTGGAGTTATGGATGGTAGTTAGCTGCCGTGTGGCTGCTGGAAACTAAATCTGGGTCCTCTACAGGAGCAGCCAGTGCTCTTAACAGCTAAGCCCCAATTTTTTTTTTTTTTTCTTTTTGTCTTTTTCAGACAGGGTCTTCCTGTAGCCTCAGTTGGCCTGGAACTCACAGAGATCTGCTTACCTCTGCCTCCCAAGTGCTGGGATTAAAGATGTGTGCCACCATGCCTGGCTCCATCAGCCTTTTTGTTAAACGTATTTGCTAATATTCCTAGTTCCTCTTGTAAACCATTCTGCTTCTGAAGGTCAAAGATGTCTAATTTAGTAATAAATTTCCAGGATATATCCCTAATTAGGATATAGCCATGCTAGCTGGATTAGTTATTGAGGCAGCACTTTAGTAGTCAGTCAAAGAGGAGAACTGTGTTTAGTTTGGGATGCCTCTTGAAGAAGGACTTGAGGGAACTGATGTATACTCATGGGGAGATAATTTTAAGTATTGTCAAGACAACAATTCCAGTGTGGGACCAATATATAGTAATAGCCCACAGGAAGAATTTGGTTTTAATATCAGGAAGAATTATATAACTTAGAGCTGCCTGAACATGGCTTTGGAGTATAGTAAGCTTTTTATTCTTGGAGGTGTTGAAATAACCTCAGAGGATAACCTCAGGCTGCAGAAGGGCTTAAAACACCCGGCATGATTACTGTGGAAGAGAATTTAGATAATCTTTGGACAGTAAACAGTGGCCTGAGATTTGAACCCATTTGATATATCTAGTGATAGGTCTAAACTTCAATAGATATGCTTTATAAGGAAAGCAGTGAGTATATTTTAAGTAAACAACTCTGTAGTTTTGAGTCTTTGTATCTAGGTGAGACATGGTAGTGACTGCTTTGTTTTCTCAAGAGTCTTGTGGTACTAAAGGCTAAGCAGGTCTTTAAGCATATACAGATACTGTTACTTCCTTTTCTTTGCAAGTACAACTCCAGGCATCTGACTTACCTCCTCTTTATCTTGGAGCTACTCCACCTTCAGTCTGCCTGAAATTTTTTTAAAATTTTATTTATTGTTTTTATTTTATGTGTATGTGTGTATTGCCTGCATGTAGGTAAGTGCACCCATGTCATGCAATGTCCGTGGGGGTCAGAAGAGGCTGTCAGATCCCCTGCGACTGGAGTTACAGACAGTTGTTAGCTGCCATATTGGGTGCTGGGATTCAAACTCGGGTCTTCTGCAAAAACAACCAGTGTTCTTAACTGCTGAGCCATCTTTCCAGCCCATTTTGTTGTTGTTGTTGTTGTTTTCTTTTTTGAAACAGGGTTTCCCTGTAGCGCCAGCTGGCGCTACACAGACCAGGCTGGCCTTGAACTCACAGAGATCCTCCTGCCTCTGTCCCCCAAGTGCTGGGACTACAAACGTGTGCCACTGTACTGACCAAACTGACCCCATTTTGGATAAAGTTGTTGTGCCCAGGGAACAGATCCCCAAGAATTACCATGGAGTCCAGAGAGCATGCAAGAACAAAGAGTCTTTATTCCTGCTTAAGCTCAGACTCTCAGACCAAACTAATGTGGCAGGCCTGTCTGAGAGCCCTGATTGCAGGGGGAGGGAGCTTTTCATAGGTTTCAGACAAAGGGAGGAGGGGAACGACAGAGTTATATTTTGATTGGTCCAAAGAGCCCATGTGCCAACATACTTTTGAATTGATTGGTTACAGTCTTGGAGGCCTCTCATTGGTGGGAGCTGCCCTAAGGGCTGTGGAATATGCTAATGTGCTGACTGTTATCTTCAGGGCTGGAGGACCCTGTTTATTCCTTATAAGGCCTCAAACCTGCCCAGGCCCCCTGGACATGCTTGGGCTTGCCTAGTCTATGACCATGAGACATCACAAAAATGGAGGAATCAGCAGTCAAAATGGAGACGGTGCAGTTTGTCCCTCTGGTTCCCTCAAGCCAAGCGATTTACAGAAGCGAAAAGAGCAGTTAGTCCTAAATAGGGGCAGGGGTCTAGGGAGTCCGGGGGAGGGGGCCAAGGAGGAGGGTTCCACAAAGTAGCCATCTTAGAAGCTTAGCCATAGTGTATTTCCAGCTCAAGGATTGTTTTCAGAAGCCCTGACCCCCTTCTCCCTTTTCCTCCCAGGAGATCGCTGCTGCGGTCACTTGCTCTCTAGACATATAGAAAACAAAATTATTATAATATGACTAACTGCCGATTCTGGCTCCTGTAACTTGCTTGTTTTGCTATTTTAGGGCACCTTGACATACTGTAGCCTGAGATCACCCTCCACCCTGTTATTCGGGGACCACCTTGTCAACATTCCTTTATGAGGTTTTGGCTTTAAAAGGTCCCCTTCCCTCCCCCTCCCCGCTGTAGCACTCTAATCAGATACTGTGACTGCAGTCCAAGCTAGCTTGAATAAAATCTTTTATCTCGATTTAAATTGAGTCTGGTGGTCTTTCTTTGGTAGTCCTGGGGTCTGTAACACCACCATGCCTGGACTGTCTGAAATTTATAGCCTGAGAACCCATATCAAAGTGATCATGTCTCCTGAGTATTCAAGTTATCTTAATCTTCCGTGTGTTTAGTATTACCTGAGACAGACTTTGAAAAAAGTCACTTGAACTCAAGATATAATAATAAACACATATCATAGGTAGAACACTCTAGACAATATAAAAAAAAAATCTAATTGTAATTTTTTTTTTTTTGAAACACGGTCTCATTATGTAGTCCAGGCTGACCTGGAATTCGTAATTCTTCTGCCTCAGTCTTCCAAGTACT